AAAAAAAGAAAAAGGCAAAAAAAAAAAAAACTGGAGCTCGCATCCACCCTCTCCAAGCTGCTGCCTCCTTCTTTCCTCTTTTTTTTTTTTCCCCCAATTCAAGTGTTAAGCAGAACCAGGTTGCTTTCAAGAATGTATTTGATGCAATTGTACACAAGAGCGGGCTCCATTCATTCCCTCCCTCTCCCCCCCGCCCCGGCTTTATCCCCCCTTTCCCCATCCGCATCCCCGGGGTCCCGGCACCGGGCAGAGCTGGGGAGGCTGGAGCTGAGCCCCGGAGCTGCGGAAGGCGGAGGGGAGGGAAGGGAAGAGGGGGGTCCCCCGGGGTGCCGCTGGCCGGGTAGGAAGGGGGGGACCCCCCGCTTTCTCCCTCGCTGCTCCCCCCGTGCGGTTCTGGCTCCCGCCCGGCTTTTGTTAAAGTGGCAGCGGCGGGGCCGGTGCGGGGCCGGTGCGGGGCCGGTGCCGCTCGGCGGGGGGGTCTCCTACCTGCTCTCAGCTCCATGCGGGACGGGCGCGGGGCCGGGGCGCTGGGTGCGTGCTCTGGGGTCCCCGGGCGGGCAGGCAGCGGTCCCGCACACCGGCCCGGGACTGCGGCTCCCATTTGCCGCTCCGAGCCCTCTCGCCTCTCCTCCTCCCCGCGCACAGAGCCGAGAGCCCGGTCCCGGGGGGAGCACGGGGGGGACGGGACGGAGGGGGGGGTCCGGGGAGGGGAGGACGGGGGGGACGGGGCGAGGTGCGGCGGAGCGGCTCCTCTGGCGGGGCCGGGTCCGGGGGGGGGCGTGGGGTGCCAGCCTGCCCCCCCTTCCTTCCCCCCCCGGGGCAGCGGGGAGGAGTGGCGGAGGGATGGGGCCGGCCGGTGCGGGAAGGGTGGCGGCGGGGCGGGGAGGGGGGGGGTCCTCGTCTCTTCGCTGGCACGGCCAGCCCCCTCCCCTCCGGCCGAGAGAGGGGGTCCGGGGGCAGCGGACCCCCCCCCGGCTCGGGGACCCGCAGCGCGGCGGGCGCTGCCCCGCCGGGACGGCGGCAGGTGAGCGGCGGAGCGGGGGGAGCGCGGCGGGGTCCCGGCGGCACAACCGGAGCCCCCCGGAGCGGCGGCAGCGGTTCAGCCCCCGGGGACCTTCCGTCCCGAGGGAGGGCTTCGCTTCTCCCGGCGCCCCCGGTCCACGCGCGGACGGGGAGGGACCCCCCCAGCCCCTTTCCTCCGGGTGCCAGAGCCGCTTTCTTCGCGATTATCCTCCCCCGTTAGGAGAATCCCCGTCCCGGCGCCCGCGGGACCCTTGGCAATGACCGCGGCGTTCCCCGCAGCTCACCGGGGGTGAGTGGGGTGGATTGGGGGGCGTGGGGAGACCCCCAGGGCCAAGCGGAGCCGCGGCCGGAGGGGAGGGGGCGAGCCGACAGCCAGACCCCCTCGTCCCGTCCCCTCGTGCCCCTCGTCCATGAGTGGGTGCTGCCGCGGGGGCTCTCTCGGCGGGGAGAGGAACGTCCTGGCTCCCCCCAAAAAAAGCTTTGTTTAAAACAAAGGCGCTGGGAGCGCCGGGAAGGGCCGGGAGGTAACAGGCGGATTCGCTTCCACTCCAGACCCCGGCCCTGGCCAGGTCCGAGCCCTCCCGGCTGCGATCGCATCCTCCCGGCTTTCTCCGGCACACGGGGTGCCTGCTCGCAGCACAGCAGGACCCTCTTTCCCCAAATCCACCGGGACACTGGGTGCTGAACTCATTAGCAGCAGTTTGGGAACCCCCCGTAGGGATAAAGCACACACGGACGTGCTGCTGGCTGATTTATTGCTTGGGAAGCGCGGATTTGGTGTTGAATCCATGAGGACGCGCCCAGCAGACATGTCAGGGGTGACGAGGGGGGCTCTGGATCCCCTCCCCCGGGTAAATGGGGGACACTCCGCAGCCCTGAGGATCCGGAGGGGCTGCGGAGGAGTCGGACAGAGCTGCCCAAACGATCCACGGCTGGACGGAGCCCCGGCCCGGCTCCCCGGCAGCGTGTCTGGGGGGGTCCGCTCGGCGTGGGGCCGGCCCCCTCGCCCCCCCAGCCGCAGGGCAGGGTATCTGGTTTCCCCCCCGAGCCAGCAGATCCCGCCAGCAGCGCCGGAGCAGTTGGGAAAAGCCGCCGGCCCGTCCCCGGGGGTCTCCAGCCTGCCGAGGCGGCGGGGCTGCCCCTCGCTGCCTTCTCCCGTCCCCAAAACCCAGCGCTGCGGTTGGGTCTGGGGAGTTTTCCAGCTGCCACGGCTCCCGCTGGGCCAACACCTGAGACAGGAGAGGAGGAGGAGGAGAAAGGAAATGTGGCCCGGCAGACGCGGCTCCCGGCTTCCCAAGCCCCTTTCTCTGTGCCAGCCAGCGGTGCCAGGACGGAGCCCCCGCCGCAGGACAAAACGAGCACAGGGCACAGACAGGTCAAGCCGCTGGGAAGCCGCATCCCCACATCCTGGTCCTCCTCCTCCTCCTCCTCCTCCTCGCCCGGTGCCCCCCGCGGCTCCGCGTGGGTGAGGCCGTGCCCGCCCTGCCCTCGGGGCCACGTCAGCGGGCAGCTGAGCTCACCTCCATCCCACCCCGCGGCCGCGGGGCCAGCCCGGCCTCCCACTGCTGCCCTTTGCGGCCGGCAGCCGGAGGAGGGAGAGACGGGGCGCCGGCCGGACCCAGAAATCCCGGCTGTAGCCCCAAACCGCCCGCCGCTCCGGCAGCGCCCGGCTCCTTGGGGACACCCCTGGGGCGCGGGCAGGGGCACGGAGCAGCCATCCGGCTCGACGTGTCCCCTCCTGCCGGGCTGGCAGCAGGAGCCCAGCTGTGGCCGTCTGTCTCCCCGAGCCGCTGCCTGGGCGAGGGCGCCGTGCCATGTGCCGGGAAGGAAGCCGGGGGAGCGGGAAGGCCGCTGGGAAACAGCCCCGAGCCCGCCGGGTGCGAGGGAACACCCCTGTCACCTTCCCTGCCATCCCTGGGTGAAGTCCCCAGCCCCAGGAGGGGTGGCGTGGGCACAGCTGAGCCCGGCGGTGCTGGAGCCCCCCGAGGGCTGCCAGGCTCCCGCTGCCGGCCCGTATCCAGCCCGTTCCCTGGTCGGTGCCGGTGGGAGGAGGGAGGGGTGGCCTGGCCCTGGCCCCACTGAGGTGTGTGTGTCACGACCGCAGCCAGCTGCGTCCTCTCCGCAGCCCCATAAAACGCCGAGCCCCGAGGCCAGAGCCTCTCCTGGGGACGACGGCTCCAGAGGAGCCCGGCTGCTCTGCCAGAGCTGGAACGGAGGCTCCCACACGATCCTATCCTCCTCCTCCTCCTGGGAGGAAGGGAAGTAGCCAGGCCTCACCCCAGGAGTGGAGGAGCCAGATGCGGCTGGACCCCGAGCCCAGGCCAAGGCAGGCCTGGGAGTCCCTGGAGCGCCGTGCTGGCGATCCCAGCACAGCCCCGGACACGTGGCTGGCCCGCGGAGCCCCACCGGGGCAGGAGTTGCTGTACCTGGAGGGGATGCGGCCAGCAGCCGGGTCTGAAATCCCAGACAAACGGCACCGAGCACACCAGACAGGGAAAGGAGGAGGAGGACAGGCTGTCACCATGTCCTGGAGGACAGCAGCCATGGGAAAAGGGCTCTGCAATCCCATTTCCCCCTGCTCAGGTGCCAGCCCTGTTCCGCAGCGGGGCCCCTCGGCTCGGGCTCCGCGGCCACCGAGGCCGGGAGGAGGGACTTGGGAGCGGCTGCTCCAGCGGCAGGCGGGAGCCGGCTGGAGGACCCTGCTGTGAGCACGACTCGAGTTCCTCACAGCCACAATCCCCCGGCTCCCTCGAGGCCACAGCTCCAGAGCCTGTCGCTCCCGGCTGGCTGCGAGCACAGGCTGCTGGCTGAGCCAGGGTCACAGCCCTGGAAGGGCTCATGGCCACACTGGAGCAATGGGGCTGGTGGGAAATGTCCCTGCCCACGGCAGGGGGGTGGGATGGGGTGGGCTGCAAGGTCCCTTCTGACCCAAACCATTCTGGGATGGATACACCTGGCCAGCCCAGAATTTACAGTGTATCCCCAGTGGAGAATTCTAGGACACCCCCAAAAATCCATCCCTGGAAGTGTTGAATGGAGCTTGGAGCAGCTTGGTCTAGTGAATGGTGTCTCTGCCCATGGCAGGGGATGGGACTGGATGAGGTTTAAGGTCCCTTCCAACACCAGCCATTCCATGATTCTATGGGATGCACAGCCAGCAGCACCTCCAGCATGGAGAGAGACCACCAAGCATTAACTTATAGCATTCCACTTCCCCAATGGAAGTGGAGATAGGGATCCCCAAAATCACTATCCCGAGAGATTGGGATCCCCGAAACACCGGGATCTCGGGAATCACTGGAGCAGCTCCAGGGAGTCGCAGCCCGTCCTGGGGAGCACCGTGCCCCGGGAACGCGAGAAGCGGCAAAGGGACCGGGAGGTGCAGGCAGTGCGGCGGAAGGGCAACCTCGCCCGGGATGCTGCCGGGAATGAAGCGAGGGGCAGGGTGCAGGGAGGCACAAGTAGGAACGATCCCGGGGGAGCCCCAGGATGGCTCGGGAGGCCCCGGGAAGGAGCCGGCGCGGGGCTGAGCGCCGGGAGCCGCGCTGAGGGGCGCGTCGAAGCCCCATTGGCTGAGCCGCGCGTCACTCCGACCGATACCCAATAGCGCGCTGCCGGAGGCGGGGCTTGCCGGCGGAGCAGCTCCGAGCGCCGCGGGGCCGAGGCCCCGCCCCTCCCACCGGTCACGTGAGGGCATCGTGCCGCGCCGTCACGCGCCCCCTCAGCGCGGACCAATCGGCTGGCGGCGAGGGCGGGGCGGGGCGGCGCTGCCGGCCAATGGGGAGGCGGCCTGAGAGGGAGGGCGCGGGAAGCCGGGAAGGCACGGGCGGGGCGCGGCGGGGAAGCGGCCGGAACCCCCGGGAAGGGACGAGGCAGCGGGCGCGGGGGCACCCTGCGGGGCCGCTGGGGACGGACGGCACCGGCGGGGCCGGGGGAGAACAACAACCGCGGCGGGGGGGGCGGCGAGGCCCGAGCAGAGCCCGCTGGGGGCGTGGCCTAGCAGCACGCTCCGCTGAGGGGCGTGGTCTGGGGCGGGGGCGGGGGCGGGGCCCCCACGTGCCCTCCCGGTGCCGGTCCCGGTGCCGGTGCCATGAAATGTGTCATCGCCGGCGGCAACGTCAAAGGTGAGCGGGGCCTGGGGCTCCGGGGAGCGCGGCCCGCTCGGGGAGCGCTGCCTCACCCCCACACCCTCTCCTTCCCAGTCCTCGGCCGCGCCGTGCACTCCCTGTCCCGCATCGGCGACGAGCTCTACCTGGAGCCCACCGAGAGTGGGGTATGCAGCACGGGGGGGGCTGCGTGGGAGCTGGGGGCACCTGTGCCCGCCTCCCTCCGTGCCAACAGCGTGGCTGTGTCCCCAGCTGTCCTTCCGTGCTGTCAACTCCTCCCGTTCTGCCTTCGCCTCCTTCCTCTTTGCACCGCTCTTCTTCCAACTGTACGAGCCGGGCAGCGCCGGGCCCGACACCGAGCTCTTCCGATGCAAAGTCCACATGAAGGTGCGGTGCCCCGCCCGGAGCCCCCCGGAG